ATCCAAATTTTATTTAGCATCTAAACGGTGGAAAATTTACTTTATCTCGTTTCCAAAGTCCTTGATTTCGCTCTCCAATCTTCTTTAGAATCTGAAATGTTTGGAGATAAGCGAGCACGATGGCTCAGCCAGCAACTGCGCACTTCCTTCTTATGAGATCAAGCATGCTCAAAACAATCTAACATAAAGCCCATAAGCCATTGAAACTTGAAAGTTCACAATAGAGTCTTATCATAAGTAATAAGCTTAGTTGAAGAAACAAACATTGAAAATAGCTGATCTCAGGATAGGTATACAAAACAAAGATTCACAAAATAATAAGATTGGTCAGCATAATCCAGTGAAGTTTAGAAAGATTTTCAAAAAAGAATATTCAAAAGTTTGAAAATTCGAATTCTCATGGCTCGGTCTTAATTCTGCATCCATAATTTGCCCAATGAGAAGGCCCAAATAAATTTTATCCACATCAACTGGTGGCTCGGCTCATAAGTTGCCCTATGACAAGGCTCGAATAAGTTCGATCCATATCGAGAAGCATGTTCCCTAAAGTGGCTGGCCGTATTTTCTATTCATAGGCATTGGTGCTCCTAATTTGATTAGGATTAGATAAAGCCTTGGATTAGATGCGCGGTTAGGATTAAAAAGATACGCAAGAGGGGTGGATGGCCTTTGGGTGAAATAGATAAGAGACGGACGGTTGAGATTACGAGGATTAGGAATGGTGAGGATTTAAAAGGGACAAGTGAATCATGTGCCATGCACATGCATATATGACCGGCCCCATAGAGTCCCCCAGTCCTACGTGCGCTTGTCCATGGAAGAGAGATGTAAAGGCATGCTAAAGAGATCAATGATATAAGAAACTTTATATGGTAATAGGTAGTTAAGTAATTTTAAGGAATAATTGCTTAATCTAAACAATTTATCTAACTAGACAAATTTGGACTTAATTGGACAATTAATATATTGTGGACTTCGGTCTGGTGATATGATACCATATCATGTGGATGCATGGATAGGCACTCCATATTCCCGCATTGCTAAGGTTGCTTCAATAATCGGGATGAGTCATAGGCCAGCAGACGAAAAATGACATGATTATGGATTACTTGTACACCTTGAAGCGTATTGTTTGTTGTACATGATTATTGAACTTGTATATGAAACAGGTTATTGTCTTGGATTTGAAACCTGATCGTGATACTTGTATACATGTTACTCAGATTTGTTATGTGAGTTCCCAAGGTTTGGATCGGGAATGAATTTGATCTTCCTTTGTAAACTTTGAGATTTCACTTGCTGAGTTAGCGGTTTGCTAATCCCTTTGTTAAACTTTTTCACATTAGTCAAGTTCAGGTCCAGGACCGGAGATATTGCCTTTTGTGAGTTAGCATAATTACGACTTTGGAGAGCGTGTGGAGAAGATTTCTTTTGACGCAGTGCTTATTATACGGCTGCTCAATTTCTATGTTGTTGTGCTTTATTATAGGGTTGGTGATGTGCCATGTTTGTAGCTGGCTGTTTGTATCTTTGATTCGTGATTTTGATTATCAGGTGGAAGATACAGGTTGGAGGTCGATATTTATCTTATAGTTGAATGATTATGCGATCGAGATCTTAATGGAATCTGCTAAATTTTTGTTTTTGTTTAGATACTTCGATTTATTGGGGTCTTGAATTATTTTGATGGTCATGTCAAAGAAATAGAGAGGAAATTTTGCAGCATTTCTTTAAGAGGTAGACGCGCTCTACAGGTGATTTTTAGAGTTGCTTTAGGGAATTTGGGCCTTTACAAGATACGATGTAGTATAGAAGAAAGGAAGATTCCTTGATGGGTGTGATGCATCCATTGAAAACATCAATTTTTATCTTGTGTATGAAAAGAGAAACGCCTAATGAAGCTTTTGAATTTTATGTTCGAAATGCGGTGAGATCAAGCATGCTAAAGAGATCAATGACATCAAGAAAAGAACATAACTTAAGAGAGAGAGATACCACCTTATACGTTCACTGTTCGATGGGTGGCATGTTAACTTTTTTCACATGTGAAAGTGACAAGGCCCATGAAAAGAGATCCGATAAAGAAGTATTCTTGCCTGTTCTTGGTAAGTCATCTGAAAATGTGTGGGCCTGCAATTCCTTCTTTTGCTTTCCTGCATTTCACTTATGGGTAGCTTTCTTTGGTGGGAAGATGAGTGTTGACATCAAATACTGTCCGCAAATTATTCAACTTTGATTCAAGCCACTGGAGATTGCCAAAGCAAAAACCTTAGCCTCTCTCTCTCTCTCTCTCTCTCTCTCAGGCGACAGGAACGACGTAGCATTATGAGGACAGCAACAGTTCAGGCACGGCGGCAACCGGCAGCGACACCGTTTGAGTAGGGTAAGAAAGAAAGTATGGAGGAGGAGGAGGAGGAGGATTGTGCGAGAGAGATCTTTTTGTTTTAATGGAGAAAAACATATCCAATTGGCCATACATAAGTTCACTTCGATTCCCAAATAATTAAGAAGACAGAAAACCCTCAAAAGTGGAATTAAAATTTGCTTTATATTAGATTACATTTGTATGACCCATAATTACGTACTTAGAATCATGACGTACAAACTTTATAATGTAAGTTCTAAACATGGAACGCCATATTTCTTTTTATTATGATTATTAAGCAAAACAATATGCACAGCCAATCAAAAGGAACTACCGTTGTGATCCAAGTTTCACCGTAGAGAAAAGATGGTGATTTCATTAAAGTATTGGTAAGTTCCCAGAAAGTAACCTCGAAAAAAAAAATCACAGGTCATTTTTTTTAACCAACAGTGTTTTATTGACACTTACCGACATTTATTTAAAAAACTCACCGATCAATTTTTTCATGATATATTGAACGCATGGGTGATAGAGAAGCAATACAATATTCAAGCTACTTAATATAGAGCATTCGATTAGTGCGACTGATTGTAAAAAAGTTATTCTATAAGATCAACAAATATTAATTTATTATCTTTTGATCAATTGAAAATATTTTTCATTTTCTTTTCAAAGGGACAGAATACATTTAGGGTGTGCTCAACGTCCCTCTCCCTCGGATTCACTCTCTCTCCACTCCATTCTCCGTGCTTCTATCTCGAGTCAGCTCATCTTCTCCCTCGTAATTTACCCCATCGAGAGCTTTTTCTCGGTATTCGTAGACCGCTTAGTCCATTTTACATGAGCTGTTAGATCGTGCAGATCCCACTACATCTAACGGCTCATGTGAAGAGGGCTAACAAAGCCCGGAACTACCTAATAATTCCACCCCCCCGCCAGTCGACTCAACCACCACCAATCAATCTCGACATCCCTCGGCCAACCGTCACCCGGGGTCCATCTTTAGCCCCACTCTGCAGCGTCGACTCAATCTCCTTGAGTTCTTTTTTCCATCGCTAAAGAAGCGATAGCTGCAGATTCCACTCCATTATTTGATCTTGGGTCCCTTCACGTTGCACGGTGGAGCAACTGGGACTTCATCTTCACCCGCGGGACTATTTTCTTTTGGACCGATTGTAGATCTTCATCACCAGATCTAAGAAAAAACAAACGCAGATATCTGCTAAGGCACAGTTTCAAATGCTATGGAGTAGCAGAGTTTTTAAGCTTTTGCAACGGATTTTCGGACTTGGCCAGGATGAAACCGAACAGGCCTGGTCTAGTTTGGTTCGAGCCGAAATGATTTGTTACGGTCTGGGCTGGTGTATAGGACATGGAGTGAGCAAGCCCGAATATTTGGGCCAGGCTTCAATTTTAACAAAAGCGCAACCTGTGTGCACGTCCCTAATACAGATAGACTAATATCATTTAAATCATTAATTGTGTGAGTGCTGCCATAGACTTTATACGATCAGACGGCCTAAATGGGCTTGCTGCACGAGGTATACAGTGACTCTTCAATTATTGAAGAAGTCGTATGGCTATTACATTATAGTCATGACCCTAGGATGACGTCAATTGCCTCCATGTCATTATGATATGACTTCTTCAAACGTGGAATAGTTATGACTGTGATGTAATAGTTATCGTCTACAAAGATCATGAGATTGACTTCCACCGACGGAATGGACAGATACTCTGCCCTCTCAAGACAAAACAAAACGATATAAAAAAGTACTTCACTAGCATGCGATAAAATTATGAACTACTATACTAAAGTCCCTATAATGTATTTTTCCTCATTATACTAAGAAAAAGAATGAGAAATTTCTTCTACCGAATTTTCTATTATGTAGCCGGTGACGGGGAGCGGCGCGGATGGCTAAGGAAGCGGAGTGGGAGGCCCGGAGGTGTTTTCTTTTTGAACAAAAAATGCCCCTGTCCATGGTGCGAATAATGGCACGTGGCACGTACGTGGTCATCGTCCAGCGAAGATCTGTGTCGCTGGTGAGATTGGGAGTGTTCAATCGAGACGAAATCACCAATTACAAAGCTTACTTTGAGGCAAACACCAATCTTGAAGGTGCTTTGAGAAAAATTCCCCAAGGAGGGTTTTCGAGATTTTCTCGCCTTTTAATTTCGATTTATTTAAAAAGCCATTTTATGACCAAAAAAACAGACCTTTGGCCACAAACCAATGTCGCACGAATCCAATGCTGGTTTTCCTTAAATACGTAGTCCTACTCTGTGCTTGATATCGTCAGTATTTTTATTTTGAGATGTAAAGATATGTGGGGATCCTCGGCAAATGGAACAACAATGGGACAAGATAAAAAGAATTTTATTGATTAGTTTTTTTTTTTTGTCAGAAATTTTATCGATTAGTTGGGTTGCGACAAGTGGTCATGTGCACGGAACTTTCTTGTTGCTAGTCTATTTCAACAATTTATTTCTGCTAGTGACAGATATCTGCTTCAATTTGCATGGTCGACATTTATCTGTCACTATTTTTAATTTCCACAAGACTTCACCTAGGAGCTTCTAGATAACTGTAATTTAGAGAGAAATCTAGGGAAAACTCTATAAAATGGATCGATAACATAACAGATTGTCCAGTCCAAAAGTGTCCCAAGAAGAGAGAGACCATTACTAGATCCAGTCAAATGGAGCGAAGGTTGCTAGAAGCAGCTCAAAAGGGCAATATCGAAGAGCTGAATGACTTGATCAGAAGCAATGGGCTCATCCTCGAGGAGATGGCTCTCGAAGGAGCCGGTCACACGCCGCTGCACGTCGCTTGTCTGGCCGGCCATTTGGATTTCGTCCGAGAGCTCCTGAAGTTGATGCCGAGGTTCGCCGAAAAAGTGAACGCGGATGGCTTCAGTCCGTTGCACATCGCGGCAGCTCGAGGTGATGTTGAGATCGCGAGGGAGCTCTTGAGAGTGGGTCAACACCTGTGCTTTGTGAAGGGAAGGGAGAGACGAATCCCTTTGCATTACGCTGTCATAAACGGGGAGCTCGATGTCATGAAGGTGCTGCTCTCCTCTTCGCCCGAGTCTGACGAAGAGACAACAGCCAAGGAGGAGAGAGCAAAATATACTGGAGTTTCTGCTGCTTCAATGAAACTATCTTCATTATCTCCAAAGACATTCAAATAAGTAAGAGCGAAGGTCGTTACCTTCCTGAAACCACTCTTGAAGGCGAGAAGAATGGAACAAAATATAATGGAGTTTCTGCTGCTTCAATGAAACTATCTTCATTATCTCCAAAGACATTCAAATAAGTAAGAGCGAAGCTCGTTACCTTCCCTGAAACCACTCTTGAACCTGCGGGGGACATTCCGGAGATACCTCATCCTACTAGTTTCTATGGTCTTCTTTCGGATTGTCTTCACACTCTAGTTATCTAAAAACAGTGATTAAATACAACTCAATGTGAGAAAAGAAGATTTGCACTTTCCATATGCTGTCACAAAAAAGTAAACAATAAACAACCTCATCTCTAGCTCACAACATCTATGACGCAAAGAGAGAGCAAAAGCCGGGACATAGAGCAAACAACATAACCCAACCTACATTGAAGAATTTGTACATGACATATTTCTATATTCACAATTTCCCTTTTAGAGAATCGTCTTTAGAGCACAATTTTTATTTTATTTGTGCAAAACCCAACCAAAAGTCAATCCTCTTTTGTTCCATTCTTCTCACCTCAGCAACATGATGGACAGTTAAAAATAAGGACATTTTCATTGCTTGCAACAAAGAAAATCCTATCAAAAGAACTATAGATTCAACCTTAGTGAAGATAGACTGATTGAGCTAAATATTGTTCTGTTGATTGCGAGATTGGACACACAATCTTGTTCTCACATTAATCATCAACTTAACAGAGCCCCACTTCCAACCACATTTCCAAAAACAAAGCATGAGCAAGAGAATCAAAACAAAACCGCGATTGTGACAAAGTGAAATGCAGCTAGATGCATGGTGCGGTCGCAATAAATAGTGTTACGGCTAGTGCTATCACCTAGAGGGGGTGAATAGGTGATTTTACCAAAATTGTATGATTTAAACGTGCGGAATGATTATAGTCTAGGTCAACAACTCATATGATCAATATCAGATGGATTCGTATAACAAACTTGTATATAAATTGTTGTCAGATGATTGCATCTGATGACTAAGACGATGTTCTGACGAACTTGTTTGATAGATATGTATATAGTATAATGTCAGCAATAATAAATAAAAGTTTAGGGATAGAGAATACTGCACACAGATCTGTATAGTGGTTCGGCTTTATTGAGCCTACGTCCACTCTTCACGCTGGCAGCCTGTTGGCTGTATTTCACTATTGAATCACCAGAAGATTACAAGAGATGTGCTTCTCAGATGATAGATAACACTATCACGTACACTGTTCACTCAAGTAATTTTCTTTCTAAAAAACACAAGTGGAAAATAGTAATCACAAGTGTGTAAGATAGAAGATTTATTCAAACTTTAGAATTCTCGATTCTGGTTCTTGTTTCTTGTACGACGTTTGCACTCCTTTTATACTCCTCTACTTCCAATCTATCCATTGGACAGTCTTCAGAGGATTGATCTCCAAATCAATCCGTTGGAGATTCTTCCCAAAATAGGATACATAGCCGTTAGAAGAAGAACCATTATCTCCGAGTGATTTGATCGCCCATACAATCAAATCAAGTTTTCCATAAGTGTAGTTCTTCGTATTTGAGGAACGATCTTGTGATTACCAATTAGAATATCTTAAAATATCAATTTGATTATCTTGCATAAACATACCAAAAATAACACTCATTGAATCTGACGAGTAATTTTGAGTCTGATGACAAAGTCCTTTCATCGACTAAGTCCTTTCATCGACTAAGTCTTATGACTCAGCATTTACCTTCATCAAATAACTTAAGTGTAATTTTGGTTAGTAATAGATTGTTTTGTCATTCCTCAAAACTCATTAAGGATTTTGCTCAACAATCTCTCCCTTTTTGATGATGACAAAACTATCGGCAAAAGTACACCACAAGTGCCATAACTTGTGTACGGCGATTACTTTGGTGCCATAACTTTTTTTCGGATCACTTTGGTGCCAACTTTTTTGAAAATCGATCACTTTAGTGCCAATGCTGACGTGGCTCGCCCGAAATCCGATGTGGCGCTGACACAGCTCGCCGGAGAGGTCCAGTCAGCATTAAAAACCAAAAAAGACGCCGTTTAGCCCGCTGACGTGTATTTTTTAAAAATATTATATTATATTTAATTAATTAATTAATTAATTTAAAAAAAAAAAAAAAAGCCCTGCAGCAGCGGCGAGGGAGCCTTCGCCGCTGCTGCCGCCAAGCCACCACCGCCGGGAAGGGCCGGCGGTGGTTGGCCCAGTGGTCGGCGAGGGTAACCGGCCCCTGGCCGGGGCCCGACAACCCTCGCCGACCCCCGGCGACCCTCACCTAGCCCGGCGAGGGCCGGATCCAGCAAGGCGAGACCTCGCCGTCGCCCGGGTCGCGACGGCGAGGTCTCGCCTCTCCTTCGCGACCCCGGCGATGGCGAGGTCGACCTCGCCTTCGGCCGGACGAGGCGGGACCTCGTCGTCGCGACCCGGGCGATGGCGAGGTCTGCCTCGCCCGGCGAGCGAGCCGCGCCTCGCCGTCGCGACCCGAGCGACGGCGAGGTCTCGCCTCGCCCGGCGAAGACGAGGCCGACCTCGCCGTCGCTCGGGTTGCGACGGCGGGCGAGACCTCGTCGTCGCGACCCGGGCGACGGCGAGGTCTCGCCTCGGCTGGATCCGGCCCTCGCCGGGGAGGCGAGTGTCGCCGGGGGTCGGTGAGGGTTGTCGAGCCCCGGCCAGGGGCCGGCGACCCTCGCCGACCACTGCGCCAACCACCGCCGGCCCTTCTCGGCGGTGGTGGCTTGGCGGCAGCAGCGGCGAGGGCTCCCTCGCCGCTGCTGCAACACCTTTTTTTTTAATTATTTTAATTATTATTATTTTTCTAAAAATTAAAAAATTCGAAAAAAAAGCCACGTAATTTCCACCGTGTACAAGTCAGACCATTTTTTTTAATATAAATGCCATGTCAGCTTTTTGGCCGGAATTTTGGCCGGAGTCACTAAAGTGATCGATTTTCCTCCGACTTGGCACCAAAGTGATCCGAAAAAAAGTTATGGCACCAAAGTGATCGCCGTACACAAGTTATGGCACTTGTGGTGTACTTTTGCCCAAAACTATCTATATGTGATGTAAACAAAATATATTCTATTCAGATGATATAACTTTCAAAGCATATATAAAACATTGTTAAGCTCTGAAATATAGCAGTTTATATTCTGTCGCTTCCATACTTCATATTCATATCACTTGCATTCACATCCATCCTTTATAATACTTCTCCCTCCCTTTTTTTTTTTTGGTAAGGACTTCTCCCCCTTTTTGATATCAGCAGAAAGGATAAACATCATAATTAATATAATAAGAATGCAGTATTCAAAGTTGATAGACAAAGTTCACATAATAACCAAAAGTCAAACAACCATTGCACAGTTCACATAAACTCAAACACATAAGTAAGATCAACAAAGAGTTTAGAAATGATAAGTTGGAAATAAATGAGATCAATTTTGCTGATTTTTTGGAGGGGCTGAGGGTCCGGTAGGTTCAGATAATGAAGTTCCAAAAGGTGCATATAGGAAAGGTACTTGGACAAGATGGAAACTAGAAATTTGGTTTAATCATTGCTCAATATGTGAGGAGAGCTGATGAATCTGGCTTGCAGTGTTAATACCTGCAATTTGTATATCAGTTCTAACTTGAGCCTTTAAATTGTTGAATTTGGCTGCCATCAAGTCCTTGATTTCCTGAATTCCCTCTTTGAGTTTATTGCAGAGTTCTCGAACTTCATTTTGAAATGCAGCTTGTCTCCATCTTAGATCGGTAATGGCTGTATGGTTTGACATGGAAGAGGAGATGTTGTATCCAGAAGGAGTATGAGTGGTCTGAACATCAACAGATATTGCTTCCTTCCCTTTGCCTCTTGGTGGAGCTTCAGATGGACTATTTTCACAGTTATTGCCTTTCAAGAGGAAAGTCTGCAGAAGTTGCTGTTGAAGGAGCTGCGTCTTTTGCATTCTGATCGTGGTCATTGTCCTCAACATCTGGAGCATTTTCTTCTTCAAACTCCTCATGCATGTTATCATATTGAGCATTTTCTTCTTCAAACTCCTCCTGCATGTTATCATATTGAGCATTTTCTTGCTAAAACTCCTCATACATTTCTGCTTCATGTTGAAACTCCCCCTGTCTTCTAGAGGGTTCTTTCTCAGCATCTTTCTCAGCAGTGGCCATTGTTTCTTGCTGATTGTCCATGACTACTTTATTGATAATGTCACTAAGTGAATTCATCAAATATTCCTCCTCTTCTTGCAGTCTCTGAATTTCAAGCTGAGTGACAGCATGTCTGTTTGCACGTGCTTTGTACTTGGCATCTTGAATAGTTAGCCATTGCATAAACCTTGACTCCTCAAGGCTTCGTTCATCAACTTGAGACTATTCAGCAGATTGGTCATTGGATATCTGCATCTCATTAGAATCACTGGCCACGGCTTGAGTTCTTTTGGCTGGTCTGTTAGTTCTGGAGGCTGTAGGCTGTACTTTCCTCTTTCTTATTAAGGGTTCAATTGATTCCTCCTCATCAGAATCATGAAAAATATTAACTGAGCCCTTGTTTTGTGCACTCATCACTTCTGTAGGAATAATCTTACCCTTCTTATCCTTCCAATTTTCACCATCAAATCTGTACCCTATCTTAGTTATCATGAGTTCTCCAACGGTCATAGTTTGAAAAGGTTTACCTTTGAGTTTTGCTGGAATGGAGATTTTCAAATACTCAAAGATAACGGTGATTAAAGTTCCATAAGAGAGTTGACCTTTACTCTTCTTAACAGTTCTATACATTTGAAGGAAAATCATATGTGACAGAGAAATAGGAAAGGAAGTTTGTATTGCCCAAATCAACTTGGCCTCATAGCGAGAGACATCAGTTTTGGAAGAACCTTTGGGTCTGAGACAATTGAAGATGATTTTGTGCAGGACAATTGAAATTAGAGGAAAAAGAGAGTGAGATACATGAGATATGGAGCCT